GACCTTTGTGCAGGGCCCCAAAAGGCTAAGGAAGCTAGTCACTCACCCCACTCTTCCTCTCCCTATGAGGGGGAACTCTTTCTAATTGGGAAGTTCCCTCTCGGTGCTGGCTTGGGAATGGGATGATGCAGGCAAAATCAAGCTGTCTTTCTTCCCTTTTTAGTGCAGTTATTCTCAAGTTTTTTGTTCTACTATGTTACTGAAATTTCTTACGTACTCCCGAGCTCTCCTAGAGCTGTTTTCTGTTCATGGATAGTTATATAATTGTTGATACTTTTGGAGGGACAGAAGATAGGCTACTCTGCCATTTTGGTTACATCACTCTACCTGATGGACATTGAAATATATGTAACACACACACACATTATATATAGGGAAATAACCACAACAAAAAACAAAGCTAGACCCCTTTTTCCTACTATATATAGACATAGTAAAGGTTTCATATTAGAAAACAATAAACAATTAGATATAATTTTGGAGAGTGAATTTTGAAATAGGGAAATTCTCCAGATTTATGTCTTTCTACATATATGTTTTTAAAGGTTCATGGCAATTTTTATGCTAAATAAAAAGGCAGACTAGAAAATAGATTTTCAATAGACATTGTAGACAAAACTATTAATATCCATAACAATAATTTCTCTGGATTAATAAGACATAGAAAACACACAGGAAAGAAAGGGCAGAGGTGATTCATAGAAGATAAAATGTAATGACAAATAAATAGATGAAAAACTTGCTAGAAGTCAAATTGGTGGAAGTTAAGGAGTTTATATATACATATAAATATATATATATTTATATATATATACATACATCTTTTTAAAGTTTTTATTTATTTATTTTCAGAGAGACAGAGACAGCACAAGCAGAGGAGGGGTGGAGAGAGAGGGAGATAGCGCAAACAGGGGAGGGGAAGAGAGAGAGTGAGATGGGATCTCAAACAGATCTTGCACTGTCAGTACAGAACCTGATGTGGGGCTTGAACCCACAAACTGAATTGTAAGATCATGATCTGAGCCGAAAGCAAGAGTTGGCCACTTAACTGACTGAACCACCCAGGCATCCCAAGGACTTTATATTTTTAAATCATGTAACTGGCAGGAAAAAAAAGAAAAAGAAACAAAGGGGAGAGATCACATCATGAGCTGTCAGAGGTATAAGAAAGCAGGTGTTCTCTTACTTTGTTTCCACAGTAGTGGATTACTATGTTTCTTTCTGAATGTAATCGATTATCTATTAAAATAAAAAGAATCCATTCTCTTTGCCATAGGAATTCCCATTTTGAAATCTACCTTATGGAGATAATGGTATGTAAAACGACATATTCCTGAATATTTATCACTGCATTGCTTATAGTGGCAAGGAAACTGAAGATGATTTGGTTGCTTGTCAGTTAGTGAATGACTACTTTAGAATGATGTTCAAAAGTCAGAGATACATTCATTCATGAAAACCTACTGACATGGAACTATGTTATGTGACCATGTTTCTGCAGCAAAAACTGCTCTAGGGGAGGAAGTGCCCTGACCTTGATTTCAATATTTTGCAAGAACTACTTCTTTATCTCTGAAACCTCTCAACATGAAGATGTTTAGGTGTTCTAGTTTATCATCTGTTCTGTTTTGGTTTGGCATGCTAGAGTGAACTTTGCCTAGATATGCAGTTAAATAATCCTGGAGTTTTGCACGTGCCAAACTGAGTGTAGTTTATGTCTATAATATTTTATGTGTATTGATATATAGCTTGTATATATTAGTATATCAATATATATATCACATATATATGTATATATAGATATGATCTGGATATGTGTTGACAAATGTGGAGAGGTTCCATGATTATTATAATCAAATAAGAAAGACAAAGTACTAAGAAATATCTATACTATGATACCATTTTGTAAGATCAGATACACTCCTGTATATGTCTCTATATATTTTCATTTGCTCATGTAAGTTTGGAGAAATTTGTTTAAGAAATACCTACCTGTTTATTAACATTGATTTCTTCAGGCAATGGGAATAGAGCTGTGTGATTGCATAGCATATCTTTAAAATTTTTTTAAAATGTTTATTCATGAGAGAGAGACAGAGACAGAGTGTGAGTAGGGGAGGGGCAGAGAGAGAGAGGGAGACACAGAATCTGAAGCTGGCTCCAGGCTCCGAGCTGTCAGAACAGAGCCTGACGCGTGGCTCTAACTCATGAACCATGAAATCATGAGCTGAGCCCAAGTGGAACACTTAACTGACTGAGCCACCCAGATGCCCCGGCATAGTTTATCTTTCACTTTATGTCTTAGATTATTTCTCCTGTTACAATGAGCAGGTATTTCTTTAATTTTTATAAATTAATAAATATATAAAAATAAAATAAAATATGTAGAAAAGAAAAACCCTTTAAGGTCAATTTATTTGCTGAAGATAGGAGGAAGGGGTTTGAGATTTGGGGAAGAGGGTCAGGGTGGCAAAAGGGTGGCAAACAATTTGAAAACCAATCAGGAAGCACCACTGAGCACCCATCTGAGGTTGGGTGGGTGGATTTATGGGATTACCAATATACCCTGGTGTGTGACTTTCTCTGGTAGTGCTTGACAGAGCTATGGAGAAAGCAGCATCTTGCAAACTCTTAATGGGACTATGAAAAGACCCTGGGACGAGGCAGTTAAAGTTTTCTGCAGCATCTTGATGAGATGAAGGATCATTAATTACAAGCTAATTGAGTGTGGAAACAAAGGAAGGAGAGGCCAGTGGTTTGGAGAAACCAGAGGAGTCAATAGATTGGTCTAGTGAAGTTGAAGAATTATTTAGTCAGAAAAGTTGAACATGGTTTAGCATGTGCTCATGGTTAGGGAAATATTAAAAATATTTAACAACTGTAAAATAGGGGTAGTGAACAACCAGATGGATATCCAGTCAATTGACACAAACCCCAGTTAAGCATAGGGAATGGATAGTAGGGGAGTTGAGAGAAGCATCACTGGGGATAAAGAGATCAAGGAACTGAGGGATCAGCATTTTGTCTGAATTGTACTAGTGGGCACTGAGGTCACATCATATGATGGCAAAAAATGAGGTAGAAGGAAAGTGTGAGCCAGTTGTCTAAATCATCAGTAAGTGACTAGCATTGGTGGGAGGGTTGGTTGGTGATTTCGGTGACAAGGAGGGGAAGGGGTGATAAAGCCTAAAGGCATGAAAGCCTGAAGAGCAGAGGTTTCATAAGAGTTTGAAGAGGAAATGGGGAGCGTAGAGAACACCAACAGTGAGGACTTCCCAACACTGAGGGCCACATGGGAGAGAATGCGTAGACACGGTTGGGGCATGCTGCAGTCTGGATAGGTTTTAGGTAAGGCTAAGAGGTGAATGCTTTTAAGGAGTTTACACTCTTGTAAGGGAGATGGGTGAAAAGGCAATGAAAATAGGGTATCTTAAATGCTATGATAAGGCCTAAGGTGCTATGAGAGCATAAAAGAGGAATGGTTGACATAATCTTGGGACTTTCTGGATAAGTGAGATTTGAATGAATAACAATAATAAAATATTATGATAAAATATAGCAAAGTAATAAAAGTAATGACAGTTATAGTTTTCTATTTACTGATGGCTTAACTATGTACATGACCAGGTACTCTACTGGGCACTTTACATGGGTTTTCCTTAATTCCTACAACAAACCCAGCAGGTAAGACAATTATTCCTTGCCAATTAACAGACAAGTAAACAGAGAAATCAAGTAACTCTACAACAGCACAGCTAGTGTGGTGGTCTCTGTGATACACTGCCCAAATCCCCAGTAGCTGGGAGTGCTGCCAGCTAAGAGTCCTCAGCTGTCAGACCCTTTCTGGAAATTCCCTTCTTCTAGAGATGACTTGCTCAATGTCACCACCCTCTCCAGGGGACAGTCTGCACACAAGAGTGGTTAATGTGGACACATGAAGCCCTGGGCCTTTTCCTGCAGTCTGGGACAGCTCTGAAGGGCCATCCTCATTACAAAAAGTTTGCTTGAGACGTTTGTTAAGACTGCACAGTAGACTAATGTCACCCCCTTTCCAATGCTGCTTCATTCCTCCCCTTTCAGGTATTTACCTACAGATAACCCCCCACTAAACTTCCTGCACTCTAATCTCCATCTCTAAGTCCACAATCCAACCTCTAACAGTTGGTGCCAGGAAAGGTCCAAGAAGGTAGAGGCTACAAAGAGACTGTAGAGTTGGACCACCTGCCAGCTGTATTGAAATGAGGATCCCATCAGTAGTGATAGAGAACAGGTGCTCCCTAACTTGAGGTAGTAAAGCAGTTATAAAAACATCCAGGCTTGATGAACTGGGGTAGCTTCCATTTGGAAGGAAATGCACTTCTAGGAGGAACATTAAGTCCATGAGACGTAGGGCGAGGTTATCCATAAGGACATTGAGTGGCTGTTGCCAAGTGCAGTTGATGTTTTGAAAGGACTAATGACTGGCAGGGATCAAACATACCATTCTTGATAGTGCTTTTCATTTAGAGTGAAGACTCAATTTGGCAGGAGATGAAGATGCTGCTGCTTGCTTTTGGATTTCCAAGATGAGGTTGGGGGGGACGTGTGTGGATATGTGGGTTTGGAGGTCAACAGTGACATTAGCCCTGGAGATACAGATTTGGGAGTTGCCAACATATATATGGTAATTGAAAAACCATAGCCAGAGATGACATCTGGGGGTTTGTGTAGGGACGATGACCGGTGGGATTGTCATAGGCAGTGTATGACTCATGCGGTGCAGTGCTGGCGACCAAGAATGGGACTCTAAGGGACACTGGATACTAAGGAATGGGCAGAGGATGATAAGATAATGAAGGAGATTTTCCTCCAACCAGAGAAGTCAGAGAAAGTGATGTCGTTGAAGGCGGAATGATGAGGCACAATGCAGGGGCTTTAGCTGGAAGTGGATATGGGATTAAGGGAGAACCTTTTATTGATTGTTGCTTAATAAGAGAGAGGGCAGAGACTCTTTGTTTACAGGAAGGAGCTAATAAGAAGGGGAAGGCGATGGCACTGGAAGGCAGCGAGGTCCCTGTGAGGTAGAAGGGGATGGGTTTCATAGCCAAGGGAAGGGGTTAGCCTTGCCAAGTAAGAAGAAGGCAGAGAGGAGTGTAGATACAGATAAACTTATAGTGGCAGAATGTTGTTGGAGGTGAGGTCTGGTGACTTTTAGTTTCTTTTCTGTGAAGCAGGAGGTAAAACCATCGGCTAAGAGTAAGTGAACCTGAGAGGCGAAAGGTTCCAGAGAGCTGCTGTCGAGAGCAGGGTGGAGCCTGAGGAGGGAAACACAAAAGGAGAGCTGGGGAGCAAGGAGTGTCCAGTTGACGTTGGCATGTGAATTACGAATTGCCCCATCCAAGTGGCTATGTGTTTAGCAACCGGGTATTGAACCACAGGTTCACTGAGGGATTTAAGACTCCCAGGAAGGGAGATGCCGAAGTGATAGCAGATGGGGTCTACAGAAGAAAATGAGGAGAGGAGGGGGATGATAGAGTAAGGAAAGTTGAGGTACAAATACCATGGGGATATTAGTACATTAAACCAGTGGTAATTTTTCTGCAGCCTACTAAACTGGAAACTCCTGAAGGGTAGTTGTGAGAACTAGCAGTTTATTAAATGAATCATACTTAAATAGTTAGCATGAGGCTAGGAGAAAAATGCACACAAGAATATTTGGTATAGAGTCCTCATGTAAGAGGTGTTGGGTAAATGTTATTTGAATTCAAATCTGAAAGAATAGTTTTCAGTATAAATTAGTGTGGTGATTTCTTCGTGTAAAAAAACATCACCATAGGGGCGCCTGGGTGGGACCTCTTTGATCTCCACTGTACAAGTATTCAAAAAAGAATCCAGTGGGGCACTTGGGTGGCTTAGTCGGTTAAGCGTCCGACTTTCGCTTAGGTCATGATCTTGCGGTTCGTGGGTTCGAGCCCCGCGTTGGGCTCTGTGCTGACTGCCAGCTCAGAGCCTGGAGCCTGTTTCAGTCCGTGACTCCCTCTCTCTCTGACCCTCCCCTGCTCGTGCTGTCTCTCTCTCTCTCTCTCTCTCCCCTAGAAATAAATAAAAAATATTAAAAAATTAAAAAAAAAATCACCATAAATAAGAGAAAATGATAGGAAGTGATGCCGATGGACAGGAAATTCACATAAAAAGACCCGGCTTTGGAGTCTGAAGTCCTGTTTGGAGTATCTCTGGCAATCATGAGCTTGGTCAAGTCACTTGACCTTGTTGAGGTTTTTCAGCATCCTCAAGGGCGTAATTCATGTTACGTTCCAGGATGGCGTGAAAAACCAAAGAGCATGGTTTTAACACTGGGAAATGCTGTAACAGATGACATGGAAACACTGATGGCAGTTAAAACTGAATTCTGTTTTGAACAGTGCTCAATGTCCACCCTGCTCCCAATGCATAGAATAACACGGTTAGCCTCCATTATACTTTTTCATCCTTTCCTCAGGGGACAGAAATCCCTTTTTTATCACATGCCAGGTTCTTAGAAATCTGTCCTCAGGGGATAAAGCAAATGTGGCATAAACTGAGTATTTATTTCTAATCCTTCTAAACAGCTAGAAATTAGGCAACATCAAGAGACAGAATGATGTGCTAAAAAAGGCTCAGACTTTGGATCCTGACAGAGCCCAGTTCAGATTTATACAGATCAGGGCTTAAATTCCAGAGCTTCCAAGGTGTTTGGCCCTGGGCAAATTCTTAGTTGCAAGTTCATCTTTTATAAAGTAGGGATAATAGTACCTGTCTGGCAGAATTATTGTGAGGAATCACAATCAGATGTTATAGACACACATACACACACACACACAACTTAGCACAGTGCCCTGCACATGATAAGTACTGTTTTCCATAAGTGGTAGCTATCATTAGATATAAGACTGCAGTCTGACTTAAAGAAAATCTATTTAAAATACTTGGTACATATTTGGCTTAATAAATGGTGGCTAGTATAGAACTATATTCATATCAGGAGAAAATATTGACTCTTTTTTGTGTTCCTAATATTTAGTAATTTATTTTCTTAATGTTTAATTTTAAGTAAGGCATAAAAGATGCTTACAACTTGGATACTACTGATTGCACAATACTGGTGGCAAGTGAAAAAAAGCATTTAATAAGATTCCTTGATTTGTGTGTGTGTGTGTGTGTGCGTGTGTATTTGTATGTATGAGTGTCAGAGAGAGAGAGACTAGTTCAGTTATGATTAAAAAAACTTTAAACTGGCAAAAATATGTTAAAAAAACAGTTAAATTGGTATTGCCTGATATTTAGAAAAAGCATCCTTCCTGCAAATCATTCTCACTTTCATGAAATGCACAAATAAAGTGTTCTGTTTCAGGTGATTTATAGTTAGTATCATGTATTAAGGCAATTAGAAAGTATATGTTTAGTCTTCTTGAGGTATGTATTTCCTAGAGCGCAAAATATTACTATATTGGAGAGCAGTAGCATAACTTGACATAACAGACTTGAAAAAAGAAGAATGGGCATTATTTATAGGTCTGCACTCCATGGCTTCTAAATTCAAACTGGACTCTCATTTGAGGTGGGCCCCTGCTGGCTCGGTAGAGCCTGCCTGTGAGCAGGTAGAACCCTGTACTGTCATCCTTCACTACTGCCCACAACACCTGACCCCTAGAGCCCAGCCACTTGGGTCCCCAAGGCTGCTGTGCCGCTCCAGGGGCCAGGGATCTAAGGCAGGCACCTGTGAGCTGGCCCACACTGCCGCCCAGCTGGGAGGCACAGGCCCTGGTATGCAGCTCCCTCATGACATTGGGCCAGTGGGCTGGGATAAGGGAAGTCCACCCGGTGGTTCCCAAACCCCATGTGCAGCATATTCAACTGTGGAACATGTTTACCATATAACTGTCTGGGTGCCTTCTGCTGGACTTGATACAGCTTGGGAATTTGCATTTTACCATGAGCGTTAGATCATTTGAGACTTCTGGGGAGTCAACTGCCTGTAGGCGGGTTTTGGTTATTTTCTTTGTACAAAGTAGAATTTCATGTCATGCCTCCAATAAGCCTAAGGATAAAGAAAAAGCTACAAGTGTGACATCAAGCTAGTTGAGACAAAGTGGCTTGCATCAACCAATGGACATGCCTAGGATAGACAACTTTTATAAAACTGAACGTGGCTTAAATGATTAATTTACACATAACTAGAGAGACAAAATGATGGTTACCAGAGGGGAGATGGGTGGGGGAATAGGTGAAATAGGGGATGGGGATTAGGGAGTGCACTTATGATGAGCACTGGATACTATATGGAACTGTTAGATTGAATATTGTACACCTGTAATTAATAGAACACTGTATGTCAATTATACTGGAATTAAAATAATAATAAAAAATAAATAAAAATGATTAATTTATACAGATAGTTAACTTACTGACAGTTTCTCATTTAAGACATTTTCAGATAGTCTGAAGAGCATTTAAAGTTACACAGTTTAGGGCGTCTGGGTGACTCAGTGGGTTAAGTGTCTGATTTCAGCTGAGGTCATGATCTCATGACTCATGAGTTTCAGCCCTGCATTGGGCTCTGCACTGATGGTGCAGAACCTGCTTGGGGTTCTCTCTCTCCCTTTCTCTCTCTGCCCCTCCCCTCTCACTCTTTCTTTCTTTCTAAATAAATAAATAAATAAAATAAAACATTAAAAATATTTGTTTATTCTTGAGGGAGAGAGAGACATAATGTGAGTGGGCGAGGGGCAGAGAGAGAGAGAGGGAGACACAGAACCTAAAGCAGGTTCTAGGCTCTGAGCTGTCAGCACAGAGTCTGATGCAGGGCTTGAACTCACAAACCATAAGATCATGACCTGAGCTGAAAGACGCTTAACCCACTGAGCTATCCAGATGCCCCAACAAATAAACTTAAAAAAAAAAAAGTTAGATAGCTCAATTCTTACATGCTCATAACACATCTTGCTGCTTCAGAAGTATTATTCAATTCTTTATTCCTTTTTAAAAATTTTTAAAAATATTTTATTTATTTCTGCGAGAGAGAGAGAGAGAGACAGTGTGAGCAGAAGCAGGGTCAGAGAGAGAGAGGGAGACACAGAGTCTGAAACGGACTCCAGGCTCTGAGCTGGCAGTCAGCACAGAACCCGACGCGGGGCTCAAACCCACGAACCGTGAGATCATGACCTGAGCCGAAGTCGGACGCTTAACCAACTGAGCCACCCTGGCGCTCCTCAATTCTTTATTCTTTATTCCTTTGATATACAATTTCAATAGAGGTGTAAAGGACAAAGAGGCGAGGCCTCTTTTAAATTTTGCTAATCCTCCCTTTCTCTACCGCTGCTGTCACTGCTTTTTATCATCTCCTTGCCCTTGTTTAATGCTGTCAACATTCATTTGTATGTATCCCTCCTGCTCAGGCATTTACATGTTTATACAATCTAACTTATATGGACCCAAACCCCAAGTCCTAGAAAGTCTTTATTCACTAAGAATGTTCCTTCAAGACAAATATGAGCCAAGTATAACCTAGAACCAAGGTAGTGGTCTCATTCCACTGGGTCAAAATCAACTGTGATGATACGAGACCAGATGACAGAACTGAGACTCCAGTTAATACTCTTTTCATTATGTGACGTGAACTTGTTCAGAACAAGGTGCATCTCCTGGGGTTAAATCTAGAACATTTTCTGAGCTTTGTTCCCTCGTCCAGGTTGAGCACAACTTAGATGTCTCTAAGACAGCTGGAGTCATCTCAGTGACAAAAGTAACTGGGAGAGTTTAGGAATATTAATCAGGAAATAAATATAAATCATCAAGTTCAGAGCACCATCCAAGCTGTCAGGATATTTAGCTCTGCTCATAATCCATGGGGCTAGTTACTTCTCCCCCGGGAACTAGTTTTCTCATCTGTAAAATGAGAATTGAACTTGGTGGTGGGGGGTGGTCCATAGGGACTCTGGCACTCCTCATTTCCAAGTGTCTGTAGTAGAGAGCATGGCTAAACTCCATCACATTTAATATTGAACCCCAGAGAGAAATGGATGGAATTCCTTAGTACATCAGACCACCAAAGCCACCAAAAGTAATTTGAGCTGTCTCCGGGAACTTTTATCACTGTTGTTAGCTGACTCATTAGGAAGGGGCTGAACTGTTCTAGGTGGTCATTGAAGAGATCTAAGGGGATTCTTCACTGTTAGGTTGCTGGGAGCCTTATTAAGGAAGGCAGATTGGGTATTGTAGGTAATTAATTTGATTGAAAATTTGGTGTCATGTAAAGCTAAAATAATTGGGAAAGTATTCTTGGCAAGAACATTACACACACACACACACACACACACACACACACACGGAATAATTATAATTATGTTTAAAAGACTGTTTCCACTCCAACTCAGTTGGGATGAGAGTGTTGGTAAATGACAGCCTTCACACTGAGTGGAAGTGGTTAGTAGGAGTCTGGTTTGGTCGGTCCCTGGATCAGAAGATAATTATTTAGTAGAACCTGGAATGAAAAGTGGAGGTTTGGGTGTGAAGAGATGGTGACAGTGTGAGCAGCCCTCTCACTGTAAAAGAGAAGTTTTTAATGAAGTTTCCCCAGGTATTTCTGACTGTCTCACACTATTTAAGTATATACCGTGATTTTAGTATACTATCAAAATGTAAGCTTTGAGGAGGGAGACTTGTTATTCCAAATATGATTACATAATTTTTTTGACCATCTCAGGGCTGGCTAAGGTGCTTTCATAAAGTGGTTTGTAGAAAACTTACGGCTAGAACTCCTCAAAGAGTCTTTCTTGTTAAAAAAAAAAAATCAGTGTGTGGGATGCAACTTTTATCAGGAAAATACCTAGAAAGATCTCATATTACTTTGACTTCCTTCGCTAACAGGCCTATTTAAAACTACAAACATTGGTTCAGGTTGTTGGGCCCACAGTTACTAATTTTTCTGTAGAGTTGGTTGATAGGTATAGTTAAGGGTTACTTAACATTTCTAAGCATTAGATAAAAATCTTTCACTCTCTTTTCTGAAATTGTGTGATTTCTTTTAGCCAGAATTGTCTGAAAGTTAGCGAAATTACACCCATGTAGTTAAACAAATTTTGTGACTATGAGTAGAAAAAGGGAAGGAATGTTAGTATATTGTGGTTATCATATTAAATTAGTATTCCTAATTAAGCTTCCTGACTCCCTTCTAAGTTGTGTTTGGTATTCACTAGTGGTTTTTGTTTTCCTTTTTTTATTCCATAAACAAACTCTTAATTTATGAATAAAAAATGAACAGAACCTATGCCTCATCAGATTGGTTACCCTCTGGAGAAAAGAACCCTAAGTGAAAACACACACAGACACACACACAGACACACATAAATATGCATACACCCCTGCCACTTATATGTACACAAATAAATGCATTAAAAAAGCTGTGATCTCATTATCCATCTCCTCTAACAGCTGTGATAAACTGCAAAGTTAGCATTTTCTGTTTACTGATAAATTCTGTGGCTAGCTTTGTGTAACCATAGACTATGTGGCATTATACCTTGACCTATGGTTGTATATAAAGCTTAAAACCACATGGTTTTTGTATCAAGGTCTAGTACTTTTGGTTTTTAGAAGCACCTATTACATTTTGGTGCTCTAAAACCTTAAATAATATAAAGTTTTCATACACGCAAAAAAGCGAATTGCTTACAACTTCATGTTGGTGCATAGATAGCACGTTCAGGACACTTAAGATTTCTTTAAGTTTAAAGTTTCTAAAATAAGAAGTCATATTTTTAACATTGCTGTTTTAGACTCAACACATTGCCTGAAATGGAAAATGGCAAGCAGTTGTGTATAACATCATGGTTGTTCTAACTGTTGCAGGAGAAAATGGAATCCCATCGAAGGATGCACCGGTCCTTCAACTGGAGTCTGCAAAGGGACAAGAGAAATTTGTGGAGATGCTAAAGAGCCAGCACATGATTATCCCTGATTTGTGCCAGAAACTCACAAAACAACAGCAAATATTGATTAACCAGCAACAGCTATTCTAGACCAGTGGAAGAAAATGCATGAGCAAATGGAAGTGATGAAGGTTCCGTATGGCATATTCTTCCATACTAGGAAGCAGATGTCTTTCCATAGCTTGCAGGAGTATGACCAGCATTCTTTTGAAACTCATCTTCAGGGACTGCAGAATCATATCAGATATCATCTCCAGAGGTCATACACTGCAGAAAGTTGAAGCTGCTGTGAAAGTAATTAATGTTGGGGTGGGGGGAAACTTCTTAGACTGTAGCCTTTGCAAAAGTGATGAATTTTGCAATTTTTAAGAGACCATCACAGTGTGAAAAATGAACTTTCTGCCCTGCTGGGTTCTCCCCACTTGTCTGAATGTTTCACAGACATGGATCAATCCATCAGGTGAAGTATTATAATTTTATCTATCATAATTAAGGATTTAAAAATACCTCTGTAAAGCAGTGGGCTGTCTTCTCTAAAGTTGTTGAAGTAATTATGACCTTTAAGTTTAGTTTTACTTGGTTAAATGTGAATATGTTAATATAAAATACTTCAAATTCATTTTTAAATGGTACATAGTGAACAAACTGAAAAGCTTTATTTGCCAAAAATACATTGGTAAAAGTAGTGTAACCTAAATAATCTCTAATGTACAAATTTGCAAACAATATAAATAAATTTGGCTAGCATATTTCTAGCTCCAAATTTCTTTATCTTTCATAATTTGGTGAGAAAGGTACATATTTTCCTCAAAATAAGATGGCCAAGTCAGCATTTCAGTGTCCTTATATCATCTCTATTTTTATGATTATTGTGCTTTTCAGGATAGAGATGAATACATTGAATCTCCAAATATATGTGGTGAAAAGATAAAATGTCTGAATACCTCATGGTAATCTATTTATGAAGTACCTAGTTTTCGTAACAGTGAAGGAAATGATAATAACAGGCCCAGATTTGAGCATCTGAGGCTTTTTCAAACAAATACATCCTCTTACAAATTTAAACACACAGGCCATTGATCCTTGCTCAAGTGCATACAGATTAGTAAATTTCTGGACTTTCTGGGAAAAATTCTAGGTCTAAATTTCTTCCTTTTATTTCTCGGTATTTTTTTAAATCCCTCAACCTCTGCCTGTGAATTTTTAGGAAACACAAGGGTAGTTTACTCATTAGCAAAGGTGTATGTAATTTAAAATGTGAATTGGATGTTAACAATGCATTTGAAAGCCAAAAAGACTTGAGTTAGGTTGTTTGGATTTCCTGGATGATTCCTTGAATTCAGGTAACTGACCCAGTTCATAAAAAGGTTAGGACTAGTTCTATGATAAAGGAGGAACTCCCTCATGGCTGATGGAGGAGTTCATTATCAGGGTTAAATTATGGTTTCTTTTCTCTCTGGGCAGAGTCCATTTTTCAGTGATAAAAAAGAATGAAAGACTGTGGTCCCAGAACACCTTCCTTTGTGGGTTGAGCTCACTGAGCTGACGGAATAGAGCAAGGAAGCTCCTGCTTTTTCCCCTCTTACTGAGAGCTGAGAGCAAGGGACTACTCTTTATCACTCTTCCCATCATTAGTTGCTAGGAAGAAGAGAGATGATTCAGGGTGGAAAACTGCACATGCGAGGGATTAGTGTATTTTGACTATAGATGAGGCTAGCAGAGAACTTGATTTTTATGAGAATTTTTAATGAGGCATGTATTAGAAAAATTTATGAGAACTTTTAATGAGATATGGATTAGAAAAGTTGTTGATTGAAGATAGAAGCCTGAAAATATAGTCTAGGCTGATTGATGCCTTGAGGTTTCTGTGGTACTTTTCCCATGTGTCAGCAAAGGATCTTGGTGTTACAGGATCATGCAAGTCCTTTTTTGGGAGTAGCCAGCAATTTTCATTTAAGCCTGTTGTCTGATTAGGTTAGAGTGTCCAGTGGGCCATGTATGTAGTTTTAGAAGTTCTGCCTTGGAACTTGGAAGTATATTTAGTTTGAATTATGATAATTTAGGGGAGTTCATTGAAACTCATGGCATGATTAGCTCACTAACTTTTGGAAAAAAATGATTGGTGCTTGTGGTTCAGAAATTTTGTTGTTTTTCTGTTTCATTTCCCCCCCTCCCTTTGAGCTAGTTATCTTTTGGAGAGTTCATAGGTTTAGAATCTTTTGGTTAAAAAAAATACCAAGAACAACAACAACAATAATGAAAAAGAGTGAAGCTAGCTTAAGAGACTTTAAGGACACCAATCCAAGAAGAATGAAAAAGAAAGAAAGGGACAAAAAGTATATTCAAAGAAATACGGGCTAAACAATTCTCTTACCTGGGGAAAGAAACAGGTATCAGATGCAGGAACCCACAGAGTAACAAATAAGATAAGACTATAGGGACCCATACTCAGATACACTATGGAAAACAGTATGGCATTTCCTTAAATAATTAAAAATAGAACTACCATATGATCCAGCAATTCCACTTCTGGGTATATATCTGAGGGAAACAATCAGTATTTCAAAGAGATATCTGTACTCCCAGGTTCACTGCATCATTATTCACAATAACCAAGATATGGAAACAACTTAAGTGCCCACTGACAGATGAATGAATAAAGAAAATGTGGAATACATATAATAGAATATTGTTTAACCTTAAAATTTTTAAATGTTTATTCATTTTGGGGGGAAGGAGGGACAGAGAGAAGGAGGGAAACACAAAAACCCAAAGCAGATTCCAGGTTCCAAGCTCTCTGTAGAGGCTGATGTGGAGCTGTAGCCCACAAACTGCAAGATCATGACCTGAACTGAAGTCAGCCTCTTAACTGACTGAGACACCCAAGAGCCCCATATTTAACCTTAAAAAAGGAGGGAAACCTTGCATTTTGTGACAATATGTGTGACCTTAGAGTGCATAATGCTAAATAAAGTAAACCACACACAGAAAGACAAATACTACATGTTATCAATTATATTTGGATTTAAAAAAAAAACCAATCTCATATAAACAAAGAATAGAATGGTAGTTGTAAGAAGCTAGATGAGAAGGTGGGAGAAATAGAGAGAGGCTGATATAAGGGTACACAATTTCAAATAAAAGATGAATAAGATCAAGAGACTCTCATCTGACCTAAAGACACATAGAGATTGAAAATGAAAGGATGGAAAAAGATATCCCATGCAAATGGAAGTGGAAAAAAAAAACAAGGTAGCAATACTTATATAAGACAAAATAGACTTTAAAGCAAAGACTGTAACACAAATTAAGAAGAGGATTACATAATGATAAAGGGATCAATCTAATAAGAAGTATAACAATTATGAATACCTATGCTCCCAAATTAGGAGCACCTAAATACATAAGGAAAATATTAATAAACATGAAGGGAGAGATTGACAAATACAATAACAGTAGGGGACCTTAACACTCCACTTACATCAGTGGATAGATCATTTAGGTGGATAATCAATAAGGAAACAGTATCTTTGAATGACACCTTAGACACGATGGACATGATATATACAGAATATTCCATAAATAAAAACAGCAGAACACACATTCCTTTCAAGTACACATGGAACATTTTCCAGGATATATTGCATATTAGGCCACAAAACAAGTCTCAATAAATTTAAGATTAAAATTACATCATGCATCTTCTGACCAAGTATAAAACTAGAAATCAACCACAAGAAAAAAACTTGAAAAAACAAACACAGGGAAGTTAAACAACATGCTGCTAGACAACCAATGGGTCAAAGCATCTGACTTTTGATTTTGGCTCAGGTCATGATCTCACAGTTTATGAGATCAAACCACATGTTGAGCTCTGCTTTGACAGCATAGAGCCTGATTGGGATTCTCTCTCTTCCTCTCTTTCTGCCCCTCCCCCCTCAAAGAATAAATAAAAAAATATATGGAGACAAATGAAAATGAAAACACAATCGTCCTAAATCTTTGGGACACAGCAAAAGCAGTTCTAAAAGGAAAACATATTGTAATACAGGCCTACCTCAAGAAACCAGAAAAACTTAACTAAACAATCTAAACTTACACCTAAAGGAACTGGGAAAAGAACAAAGCTCACGGTGAATAGAAAGAAGGAAACAATAAAGATCAGAGCAGAAACAAATGACATATCAGTGAAATCAAGATCAAGAAACTAAGAGATGGTTCTTTGAAAAGAAAAATTGATAAGCCTTTAGATAAAGTCATCAAGACACAAAAAGAAAGGGCCCAAATAAAATCAGAAATCAAAGAAATAACAACTGACATCACAAAACACAAAGGATTATAATACTACAAAAAATTATATGCTCCCAAATTGGACAACCTAGAAGTGGATAAATTCCTAGAAATATATAATCTTCCAAAAATGAATCAGGAAGAGAGAGAATATCTTAACAGACTGATATTAGTAATGAAAGTGATTTGGAAATCAAAAAGCTACCAAAAAAAAAAAAAGTCCAGGACTTAGAATTCTACCAAACATTTAAAGAAGAGTTAATACCTATTCTCCTCAAACTATTCTGAAAAATAGAAGACAGAAAGCTTCCAAATACATTCTATAAGGCCTACATTACCCTGATACCAAAACTAGACAAAAACTGCAAAAAGAAAGGAAGGAAGGAAGGAAGGAAGGAAGGAAGGAAGGAAGGAAGGAAGGAAGGAAACAAGGAAGGAAGGAAGGAAGCAAGGAAGCAAGGAAGCAAGGAAGCAAGGAAGCAAGGAGGGAAGAAAACTACAGGCCAGTATCCCTGATGAACATAGCTGCAAAAGTCCTCAAAAAAATACTGGCAAACTACACTCAATAATACATTAAAGGTTCATTCACCACAATCAAGTGGGATTAATTTCAGAGATACAAGGATGGTTGAGTATCTGCAAATCAATCCACATGATATACCACAGTAACAAAATGAAAAATAAAAACTATATGATCATCTCAATAGATGCAGAAAAAAGCATTTGACAAAATTCAACATTCATTTATGATAAATATCTCAACAAAATGGGTTTAGAGGGAACAGACCTCAAAATAATAAAGGCCATATATGAAAAACATACAGCTAATATCATACTTAATGGTGAAAAACTGAGGGCTTTTTCTCTAAGTTCAGGAACAAGACAAGAATGTCCACAATCACTGCTTTTATTCCTATAGTATTGAAAGTCCTGGCTATAGAAATCAGACAAGAAAAAGAAATAAAAGCCATCCATCTTGTTAAAAAAAATAAGTTAAACTGTCACTATTTGCAGATGACATGACACTACACATAGAACACCTTAAAGACTCCACTGAAAAACTATCAGAGCCAATAAATGAATTCAGCAAATTTTCAGAATACAAAATTAATGCACATAAATTGGTTGCATTTCTATACACTAATAATAAAGTAAAATAAAGAGAAATTA